TTCAGACCCAGCCCCAACCCTACTCCCTCTCCCTCCCTTACCACGGTGGCCTCAGTCTGCCCCCACCACACCCCTTCCCTCCCCCCAACAGACTTACCAGCTGCTAGGCTGGCTGTGTATACTGTGGCTGCGCAAATGTACATGGAATTTATCAGCAACATTATAGGCCACATCAGCCAAAATAAGCCAATTGCTGATAATGTCTATTTTCCTTTCATTGGTGCCGATATGATATGGACCAATGTATTGGTGCACCTCTAGTTAACGTTACCTATTTTTGGTTTAGTTTAAGATAGCTTTTTATCTCTTACAAATTCCAGTATTCAGTAGTATCCCCAGATATGAGGCTGCGTAGCTCAGTTGGGTGTGGTGCTAATAACACCAAGATTGGAAGTTTGATCCCTGGTTGGACTAAATGATCTCTTGAAGTCCTTTCCAACCTTCTCCATGATTTCTGTGTTCCCATAGTAAATAACTTGACTATTATGTTAATTTTTAATTTCTTGGTTCCAACATTTTTATGCAGTCAGAAAGAAGTGATGATATGATGATGCATGCTTTATGACAAAAAATAGAGGTCTGTATAAATAGCAAAAGCTTCTCTTCATGACATTACTGTATGACTCTTAAAGGCATGGCTTGATTGCATGCTAAAAGTATACAGAATCTGTGACAGTACAGAAGCTGCCCCATAATTCAGTTTCTTTACTAAAATATCCCAAGTAGTAGATGAGAGATTGGCATAGGATTTATCTACTGGTCTAAATGTTTCGGTTTTTGTGGCACTGACTCTTGATGTGTGCCGCCCAGTTAATATCATTAGCTGAATACTTGTTAGACATGTTCATCCTTGCTCCTCTGTTTCTGAAGTAGCTTGTTTAAATAACAAGCTGGTATGTTTGTTAATTGTTTATGACTAATTTACAGGCCATTATTATAATGAGAGTGAGATTGTCTACTCTCTCCCAAAGGCTGGTTAAGCAGGTTGTACACAGAAGACTCAATAGTGGTTGGGGACCAGACATCTCTCACTCCTTTAAGCCTGTAGCCAGAATGGAGAGATACTGTGCAGTCAGCCTCCGGAAGTTACCTCAACCCAGTTGTGGCTTTATTAAGTGGACCTTTTTTATCAGTGAAATGAAGAGAATGAGGCTGATAGAACCACCAGTCTCTGCTCTTGACCTTTGTCATTTGCCCTCCAGGGTGGAACTGCAGTAGTTCCATGGCATTTGGGCTTTCTAAGAAACAGAAAGTGTTTCCCTTACAGACAGGAAAAGTAAAGTAGTTAGACAACACTTGGTTAGTTCTGTGTGTAATACTCCAGTGGCTCAAACAATTTTGTCAATGTTAACCTTTTACTTTTGGCTTCTTAATCGTCCTCCCTTACAGCAGTTTCCATCTGTTTTGCTGTTCTTGTCTTCCTCTTACTGTAATACCCTTTTTCTCTGCTCTGCCACCTTTAGGACAGCTTCGCTGTAAGTGGAGTTAAAAGTTTTGAAGTTTAGTAATGTGATTAAGATTTATGAAACGTTTCATTTAAAAAAATGTGAACCCTGGTACTGAGACAGAATTGGGGACCCCATGATCCTTTGACTAATAATATATTTCTTTTTTTATTGCAGTGCTGTATCGAAAAGGCCCTCCCTTTTACCATGCAAGGTTTGGAGCTCCACAGTTTTTAATATAAAACATGTATCTCCCATTTCACTGATGTGCATTAATCTTTCTTTGTTCCAATGAATTAATCTTCCCTATTTCATGTTAATGTACTTACCCAGTGCAGATATTCTCCTGGCTTGTTTCTTCTAACCCCAGCTCTGTCGTCTCCCACTCTTCACCCCCACAAAAATCTTGCCAGGCATGTTTGCTTAGAATGCATGGTAAACATTTTTAATAAGCATGTCATTTTAATTTGAGTTCATAGAAAATGATATAGAATTTAAATGAAGGAAACAAATAACCATCATGTATACCAAATGCAATCAAGAGAAGTAATTTGATCTTGATAACATTGTCCCTTTTATTAGGGATTTTCCATGTGATTTGGGGAAGAAAGCCCACAACTGATAAGTGGTCTCTCTAATACATCCTGCTTGTCTGATAGAAAGAGCCCATTGGTTTCATGACTTGTCTATGTCCCACTCATTTACTATTGGTAAATGTAACCTGTAACCACATATTAAAGTGATCATAATTTCCTTTAGTTAGCTATCCATTGGGTTTATTTTCCAGTTATTCTGTCATGGCTGAATTAGTTAATGATGACTTCAGAGGGTCACTGCGCAGACCATTTAGCTGGAAGTCTTTGTCTGGCTTGAATAGAACAACTACCAATGTGTCTAAGGTAACGTGGGATATTTATTCTGTTTCTGGCAATAGTTTTCAATGATAAATGTAATAATTTAAAATCTAGTATGGAAGAGTGGTATTAGATGAGTAGAGTTTGGATCTTCAGCATGAGTCTTCCGTAGGCTGAGAAGCAGAGGACAGTGCTGCTGTCAGGTGAAAATACCCTTCCCTGTCAGGAGTATTGTTGACACATTTTGGAAGGGGCTACTCCAAATTCAACTTGGAGGGATATTCCTAGTCACTGTTCCCAAGCCTTATTCCAGCCCATGTGCCCAAAAAGAAAAATATTTTGGACACTCAGGCTTCCAGAAGTTCATGATTAGCTATGTAAGAAATGTTACTTTGCCAATCATCAACCAAATCTGAATCGAAAGGGAAGGCCCCAAAACATCTCTGAAATGAAACAAAGCATCCAAAACGTTTCGGAAATGTTTCAGAAAATTTTGGAGTTTTGGAACTGGGCTTGTAGGGAAGGAGTTTCGGAGCCCGGCTTGTATGGAATACGCTGCTGCCCTGCCACGTGACTTGGCTCTGCAGGGAGCAGAGATCCATGCTGAGGGTCTCCTCGCGGCTGCTGCCCACCCCATACTGCCCTGGAGATGCAGGGCTGCACGGGGCAGGCAGCAGCGGTGAGGAGACCCCCAGCGCAGATCTCTGCTCCCTGTGGAGCTGAGTCACGCGGCAAGGACACGTGACCTGGCTCCACAGGGAGCAGAGATCTGGGGCAGGCAGCAGCAGCGAGGAGACCTTCAGCATGGATCTGCTCCCTGCAGAGCCAGGTCGCACAGCAGGGCAGTGCTGGTCCCTGTTGCATGACTTGGCTCCACAGGGAGCCAAGTCATCCATGCTGGGGTCTCCTCGCCACTGCTGTCCACCCCACACAGCTCCATGTCAGAGGGGCAGCATGGGGCGGGCAGCGGCAGCAAGGAGACCCCCAGCACGGATCTCTGCTCCCTGTGGAGCTGAGTCACGCGGCAAGGACCAGCAGGCTTGCTTGCTGCTCTGCGCTGCTTCCCTGTCCCATGACCCGGCATGACAGGGATCAGAGATCCATGCCGGGGTCTCCTCGGCTGCACGGAGGGCAGCAACCCTCCCCCTCCTCCGAATGAGCCACTCACAGCCCTATCCTGCTCCCTGCTGGGACCCTGCAGCCCCCAGCCCTGCCTGGCTGGGCAGTAGGGCTGTGCAAAACTTGCAGCCCGTTCAAAACAGATTCGGAGGAGATTCGGCTGAAATGAAACAAGATGGTTATCCGAAACAAAAAAATGAATCACTGTCCTCCAAAATGGCCAAATCTGAAACCGAATCGAAACACTGCCATTTCACATAGCCCTAATGTCTACCTCATGGCAGCAAACTCCAGATATATTAGTGGATGTATTTTCTCTTCTTAAGCATATCTACTGTATTTACTCAAATTTAAGATGAGGTATTTTTTCCCCCATCAGCGTGGAGAAAAAAGCCCCTCATCTTAAATTTGCATAGCAAGCGGAAGGGGCAGGTGGCAGATAACTGCTTTGGCTCTGGCTGACCCTGAGCCCCAGTCAGGGTCAGAGTCAGACCCACAGTAGCTGCCTACCTTCTGCCCTCTGCAGCTTCCGTGCCTCCTCTGCCCCCATCTCCCTGCTTACTGTTACGTGTGCTTTGGCTCTAGCTTGGGCTAGATCCCCTGTCAGGCATGGAGCACATGGAAACTCTGTCTCCTGCCTGGCCATTCAGCAGTGCTGATGCTGCTGTGTGGTCAGCATGGGCTGTTCTTCTATGTGCTGTGGTCCAGGAGGGAACAAAGCCCAAGCAATGTTTGACAGAAAGGGGAGGGGAGAGAGCCAGACACTGTGTGGAATGGGGTGAGGGGTAAGAGGCAGAGACTGCAGGGAGAAGTGGGGAGGGGCAGATTGTAGGGGGAGGGGCAGAGATTGTGGGGAATGGAAAGTGAGAGGCAGAGGTTATGGGAAGCTGAGGTTGTGGGAGTAGGGGTGGCAGGAAGGCTGCAGGGGAAAAAAAATTGGGGGGCTACCTGCCCCCCCCCAACCATGTCATCCCCCTGCTCCGCAGCCACTGCTTTTCCTACTATAGCAATGGGAGGAGCATAAATTTAAGACGGCCTCCTAGTAATTTGATTCTATAGCTGGGAAATTATGATATGTTTATACATTTCCCATATATAGAATCTAATTGTTGGGGGGGGATCATCTTGAGTAAGTATGGTACTCCCTATCAACAAGACTTATGCAGGCATATTTATCTCTTAAATTGACTAAGTTACCATCTCCTGTTCAAACTAATTAAATGATTTTCTAATTAACGTAGACTCTTTTTCAGAAAAATCATTTGAAACGTTTATATTTGTCTCTCAGAGATAGACATATTTATCTACCAACAGGAGCTTATATTATGCTATTTGATTAGACCATCTGATATGACTGAAAAAGAAATGTCATCACCAGAATGTATGAAAAGAATTAAAGTTCAGGTAAGTAAACTTTCTTCCAAATGTGATTATTTATTCATGTATGCTAACTGAGCTGTCCCTGACGGGGTGAGAGTGCCATCTCTCTCTATCATAACAGCACCCTTAAATTGTTGCTCATTCTCTGGCATGCTTTATGTTCTGGAGAGCACAAAACTGCGTTATGGATTTTGGAGCATTGTAGATTCTTTTGCACCCTGGGGTTTGCAGAAGTTCATGGGAGGTCACAGATGCAGCTGGTCCCAGAATTAACCTTTAGCGCTAGGTTGAAGGCATGAGGAGTAATAGTGGGCCTAAAGGAAGGTATGAGAACAGGGAGGCCAGAAAGCTAGTGGGTATAAATATGTGAAGAGAGAAAATTGGTTTCAAGTAAGTCCTCTGTAGTGCCAAAGATCCCTGCCTCAGTTCCCTCTGTAGGAGACAGTACATGTTTCCTTTAGATAACGACCTGGCCACTGGGAGATGGCTTCAGTTGTTATCAATTGTTTTTGTAATAATGTATGTTGTTTTATTTCAGGAATTAATTGTAAATCGCTGGGTCTCTTCTCGAGAGCGCAATGAGCAAGACGAACTATAATGAAATAAGAAATAGTGTCAAAGGAACAAATTATTGTAATCAAATTAGAGTATAACCTTATCATGGTAGACCTGTTCCACAGAACAGTGACCTTCCCCTGCTAAAATGCGATGCATGCTTGTATCAAGGCAATTTAAAATTATACTGAGCAAAGAGTATCTTGTGTACTATTACACATAATTGGTAACATTTTTTGTCCATGTGGAAAAAATTAAAGCTTCCTCCCCTCCAATTCACTGTGCACTACTATTGCTATAGTGCTTCAAAATACATTCTTCTTTCTTGTGGCTACACTTCATTCACTTCTTCAGTATAAAACTAAATATTGAGGCAGGGTAGATTTGCATCTTTATAAATTAAATCACAGATATATAGCATAAGCTTTTGTAAGCAGAGGGCTTACTTCATCAGATGCCGTCTAGCCTGCCTTCTGCCTGACTTCTAACTAGCACAGATAACCTCCCTCTATGGTATTGGATATCTTTGCTGTGAAAGCACGGGCCATTGCCACTTGTCTTACCAGTGTTATCCAAGAGAGGAAGAATTATGGCTGATTGTGGCACAGGCTTAGGAGTTGAAAGAATGGGTTCAGGTTCCTCTTCTGTCATCAGTTTTCTATGTAACCTTGTAGATCCAGATCAGGAAAGGGACTGGTGCACTAAAACACCTAATGCCTAGGTTCTTGGGCCCAGAGTGGAATCCAGAGCCCTGACTTGGACATCTAGGTTCCCCATGCAGTGTATGGCAGGAGTTAGGTGCTTCAGGATGGGCTCCACAAAGACCAGTGAACAGACTAGGAGCTGCTTAATGCTGGCTGGTAGGAAATGCTGAGGAGACAGGGATATTTTTAAATCCCATCTTTCTGTAGGACTTAAGTACCAAACTCTGCTTCAGATTCACAGCCAAGAACCCTCCCTTGAAAGTATATGCTTAAGCTATTTCTTGTGAAAATTGAGAAGGAACCACTCTTGAAATGTGGCTAAGGGTAGTTCCTGCCTCTTGTCATAAAAGAACTTGGTGATTAGAGCATCCATGCAGAAAGTGGGAGACCTGGATTCAGTTTCAAGTCCGTATCTCCCACCTCCAGCATGAAATGCTGAGCATCTGGGTATAGACTAAAGAGAGTTACTCTTCAGAACTCTTGTGAAGCTGTGCCACTGTGCAGAAAAGAATGAACGATTAGTAGGGCCAGAGAGATGGTGTGGAGGAGTTCTGAGTCCTGGAGCAAGGCTGGAACAGCTTTTGCACTTTAATGACAGTTAAAGTTAAAAAAGCAAACACGCGTAAAATATATAAATATATTTTATTTATATATAATGAAAATAACACTGATAACAGCACTACCCTACTTTATAAAGATGTGAGGATGAATACATGGAATATTGTGAGATGCTCCCTACTGCAATAACAGGCATTATATGATTGTAGGAGCTTGTGATGCGTAGGCTGGTAGTTCTGGTTACTTGTGGCAGAGGAGGGTACGTTGTTCCCAAACTATATTAAATTCAGCCTCTTAAGGTTACTAGCCTAGGCACAATGTTTCAGTAATGTGACTATACTAGTTTGAGTTCCAGAGCTGGCATGCAGTGTTAACTCAAAGGTCCTTGTACCATATAGCAATACCCTGATTGCTTTTAACTTATATTCAAAATTATGGAAAGAAATTAACAAAGGAAATGTCCTTTCTCAGTTGTATAAATCATGGTGTGTTCAGTAAAGCTAAAAGAACATATGGAATTACTCATTCTTTATGGTTTTTACAATGACTTGCAATTAATATAATTTTTCCCAAAGGTATCATTGGCATGGTCAAGTTGTCCTTGGTGGCACTATGCATATTGTAAGCTGTGGACAATAAGTTGGCTAGGCAGTTTACCCTCGTTTTAGGGGATAATGCATTCTCTTTGCACTGTTTCTGCTCAGCATTGCAGAGGGGAAGTTCCTTGCTTTTATGGCTGGTTCTTCCATGTTGTTGGCAGATTTCTAAAACTGCTTTAAATTGTGCCAGTTGGTAACAGAGGCCTCCTTTGGAAACTGTCTGCTGGAAAGTGTTAGATGCAGTATGCTTCTACTGTGTCTCCTCTTGGTTTAGCAGCTTTGCAGTAAAGGCACCATGTCATTACTGTAGATTATATTATACATGAAATTGCAAGAAAGGAAAAACGTTCTATTGTTTGTGTTTTCTATCAGAAGTGTTTCTTATTAGAAGTGAAAATGTGGCTGGATAATGGTCTCTTCAAGCTGAATGTGAAGGTATTTATAGAAAATAGACATCAAAAGATTTCTTTCCCTAGCGGCAAACTACACTTAATATTTTCAGTACTTTGACTTCACATTATTTCCTTCAGAAATGTATAACTAGGGACACCACACATTTACTCTTTTATTTATAAAGTGTACTCTGGTTCGTAGAAACACAGAAGGTTCTTGTGATCAAATCAGAAATATCTTGGGGTACAGTTCACCCATGCAGGGCTTTTGCTCCACTTACATTCTACTTATGCCTTCAAATAGGATATAAGTGGTACAGATGGTTTTTGCTGACTTGTAGCATAAGATGAATTTCACTCTAGTGAGAACTGATCTTTCTGTATTGTGATGTCATAAATACCTCCCAAAATGATGATAGGAATGAAATGCATAGGCTAAACTATTAAAAGAAAGTTGTGTTTATGTAAATGGCATACCAAGTACAAAGGTACACATTAGAAGCATTTATCAGAACAGGTGAACCTTGGAAAAGCTAATCTTAGCTGAGTGTTTTTTATTTTTGGTTTTGTTTTGCTTGTTTGTTTGTTTTTAAACTGGGAAATAAAGCCAAATTCTGTTCCGTTATACTGTTGCATATCTGAATTAATACTGATGAAGTTTTACAGGATATAACACCAGAATAGTGACAGCAATTAGAAGTTGGCCCACAGTATATGTCAGTCTGTTTCTGCAGTAGTGCATATATTGGGATCATTTTTAATATTTTAACTTCTTGTTTGGGGAAATTTTGAGTGTTTCTGGTTCTGGGCTGCAAAATCCTCTGGCTAACATACAGTACCCTAGCATTTTAGCTAAAGCAGTATATCCTTCCAGATTCTTTAAGAAAGACAGAGAGAGATCCAGCAAGGAGCCTGGTTTCACTTCAGCCATTTATTTTTGCAACAATCAATTACAAACAACCTGAGTAACAACATATCTAGGTACAATAAAGTTATGAGACACACCATATTTTCTTGCATACCACACCTTTTTCTCCAAAAATCAGCCTCCCCAGATTGGTGTGCCTCTTAAGCAGGAAGCTAATTTTTCTGCTTAAACTAGAACCATCCTGCTTTAGCACCTGTTCCAAATACAACTGCCCTGCAGCAGCAGTGGCTTTCTTTTCAGGCAGCTGAGGGAAATCAGTTGACTTAATGACCCATTGTTCTTCACTCTACAAGTATTAACAATAGTCTTTCATTTTTAATGGTCTAGATCAGGGGTTCCCAAAGTTTTTATGCCGCAGCCCAGCAGTCACAGCTGACCACGGCCAGAATTTCTGGCCGAAAGACAGATAAGAATACCTCCACCCCCTGAGCAGCAGGGTGGACCAAACCCTGCACTGCCGCAGGCCATGCAAAAGGAGCCACGGCCTCTCTGTCCAGCTCTGGGGGGGGGCACAGTTTGCTGGTCTACGGCCACTTCTGGTCTGGCAGCTGACTCACCACGGCCCAGTGCCAGGCCACAGATTGAGAACCCCTGATCTAGATGTTATGCTAATCAAGTTAACCTTTCTTCTAGCAGTTTTGCTGTCTGGAAGCTATTGCCGGTCTCTTTCCTATTTCACAGCCTTGCAGACCCTTTAGCTCTGCCTCTGCTCTCTGCATACGTAACTCTGGAAAAATCTTTTTTTCCCCCTTACATTCTTCCTTCCCAACAACAAGTTATGTATCTTACTCGGGCTACACTGTATATGCAAGAAAATACAATGTTTTATCAAAAGGAAGTGAAGAAATACTGCTGCCTATTGGTAACTTCAAAATGTTCTTCATAATCTAATATCCCATATGGTTCAATTTTTAAATGTTTTACCCTTGAGAAACTACATGTTGCAACCAATGTAGAAGATAATGAGCATGTGACCAGTAATCCCAGTGCTGTCTTAATGTTGTTTTTAATCGCACATTAATGCACAAGTGCAAATGTAGTTATACTAGGGGTCAGCCATATTTTTGGGCAGAATGCCAAAAACACCCACAACTTCGACTTGTAAGATGTTGGCATGCCAGGGTAAGACAGCATGGGGGCTGTGAGGAGTCCAAGCCATGTTGTGGCAGCACAGCCCTGGTCCCCTCCCCACCATCCACCCCAAGGTGCACATGCCAAGCAAAATGCCTTTTCATACTGTGCCAGGGGCTACCTACCCTTGAGTTATACTATAACATTTATTTTGAGTAAAGTTATAAGTTTAAATTTGCTACTTTAAGTTACTATACTTATGATCTTTTGCCTGAAAAAACAAAGTACTGTATGGTGAATGCACACAGGAATATATTTGCTTTTCCATGTGCTCCAGAAAATTAAGCAGTTGCAGAGTTTAAAATTGTGACACCCAGAGCATCTTCATTACACACCTTAGCGTCATTAAAATAATACCAATTAATCTTTTTCATACATGCAGCAGGACATAGCTGTTTTCAAGCATGCCATGAATATATATTTTGGCTTTGTTTGTATTTAAGTCTGTGGTGGTTTTTAATTTAACAGTTTGTCCTCCTCCCAAGCATTCTTTTCCTGATCAGAAATGTCAACAGTGTAGAAACAGTTTTCTGCTATCGCCTGGTAAAGAGTTATATACTTGGAAGCTTTCCTTGTCTGTGGGATCACAAATCTTTCTGTGAATTCATTTTTGTCCATTTGTTGCTTTCCCTGTGCAGCCAATAGGCAGTTAATAAATGCCAGTGCATAGGTGTAACAATTGTGGTGATGTTCATCATACCTATGAAAAAGATACTGGGTTATTTAAATGATAATTGCATGTGTAAGGCAGGTAATCATTTATTAGCTGAGAGGAAGAAGCACATACCCTTCAAAAGCTGTAAAATTCCCTTCATGTTGGCACTTAAGTGTGTGATGCCTGAAATAATTAGCTTCCCTATCTACGCTGAGATGTTGCACACTGTGGGTATCAAGATACAGGTACCAAAATGCCAAACCACACAATGACAAATTCTGATTTTAAAAAAGAATCAACTTTGTAAACCAATGTCTTCTTAATTTGATAAGCGTCAAGGGTATCCTGTTCAGCCACAATGGTATCTCCTACAGCTGTGATGAAAAATTGTGTGCCACCAACATATCTTGAATGCAGTGCTAATTCAACTGCTGAACTAAAAATCATATTTTTTTACCTGTGAAACTTCAGGTAATAAATTCTACATGTGGCCAACCAGCAGAAATCCTCTTATGTAAATAATAATACGGAGGTGGGGCACTATGTGGAGTGCGTGCGTGCGTGTGTGATACAGCCCAAGCGGAAGTGAGCTGTAGCTACCTGTCCTTTCATCTTGTAAGGTTTTCCACATTCTCCTATGTTTCACAATAATTGTGCGTTTTAATAACTTACTCTTTCACACACAGCACCACCTAGCTTTTCCCATCCCGCCCCAGACTTCCACTGTTTTGTCTTAATATATCACTGCACAGACCTCTATAACCACCTCCCACCATGTTACTTGTACAGAAATCTACTCATCCTAAACTTGTGGCTGCTCTCCTTCCCTATGCATAGCTGACAGCTCTATGTTGTATGCTGCTCTACCTATATCTTAGCAAAGAGATCTGTGAACGTGCAGGAGTTCCGTGTAAATGCTGGGGACTTACAAAATACTTTTACAATGTCCAGTCTTCAGCAGACCAGTAACATGGAACACCAACTCTTGTTCAAAGTATTCCGCTATTCTCTTCAAAGCTCTTCTGCTTTGATGCTCATTATGTTTATAGTGACCTATGACTTTTGATTTGCTAAGCATGCTATTGCCAGAGTGTACTTCATTTATCACAGCTAACTGTTTTTATAAAGTGACTGTAAACATATGCCAGAGTAACTGTCGTCACTGCATTGCAAAACAACTGGAAAATCTCTTACAGTTTCTCACTGGAGACTTGCACCAATGCTAAAATGTTTGAATTGTCATGGTTCATGTGCTTAGCGCCAGTTCAGCAAAGCGTGCGCTTAAATGCTTTGGCAAATCAGGACTATGGTAGAGCTAACAAGAATTAATAAAAAAAAATTTCCTTATTGCTTGAGCATAATTTTATAGACTTTAGTCTGCCGTTACTCTATTTAGTTACAGGGTCATCTGTATAATATCTCCTCATTATATGTTGTCAAATTACCTTCGCCAAGTATGAAGTATGGCTCGGTATTCAAGTGTACAGGTAAAAAGACAGAGCTGCCAATAATTTAAGGTGCCACTGGAAGGTCTCATTGATCCAACTCAGCTGCCATGGACTGTAGCTGCACTTATTTTTTTTTTTAAGTTAGCAGGATGCATTTATTTAATCCATTGTATCTAATTTTACATTCTTCCAATAACTATGAAGATATAATTCAGTGCACCCATGCACAAAACTTAATGTAGATTAAATAAAAATAGAGAATTAGAGTAAGTATTTTTACTTCTCTTCTACGTTCTCAGACAATAAAATAACTATATGGACTTTACTAAAACACTACACAAGAGATTCTCCACCACACTGTTTTATGGTCTTTAGACGCAGAGCTGAGAAATCATGGCTTATTTAAAAAATTGTCTCAGAGCCAGTGGGTTGATTCTTAAATTAGTTACTCGGTGGAAGACATTTTTCACTTTTCCCTTGCTGCCCAACTAACAATGAGGCCAGCAGCAATGATTCCTGGGACCTTCGTATTTGATTTTCAGTTTAGAAGTATAACTGATTTCATTTCAGGTCTTAGAAAAGGATGCCTGAAATCAGATTTTTTTTATGTTGAAGTCCAAGATCCTTTATGACTGATATCTTAACATACTGTAGCCCTTAAACTGGGCCTATTTATGAAAGAGAACTAAGCTGTCAGGTTATAAAACATAATGGCTACAGAATGACATGCTGTCTTTGGAATCAGGAAGATAAATCACAAACATTATCTATCTTAAACAAAACCAGCTGCTTATAGTTATTGCAGCAGTCAGCACAGAATTTGGCTGAGCAGCAAAATACACATCACAGCTGATTCAAATAATGACAAGGTAGAACAACCATCAGAGCTACTTTCACAATCCACCCAGATGTTACAGAGGTTTTACACACCAGTCTTAACAGCTTGAATTTGGCCAGGAACAATAACATTTGGGTCAGCAGATGAATATATCTGCTTCAACTCCAGGTAAGCCTTTGATTGTACACTTCTGAAAACTGGGCGGCAAAAGAAAGAACTAGAACAGACTTGGCCTGATCTCTTACGAGGATCAGAATGCAGAATTAAAACTGGTTCGCTATATGCCTGTTTTTTTTTTTTTCTTTTCTTTTTTTTTTTAAATCTACAGAATCCAGCTAAATGATCCTGAATAGCTGAAAGGTTCCAACCACTACTCTTAATTTGGATGTGCATTCACAGTAGGTGCAAACATGTTTTGGGCAAGCTGATTGCTTGCTTTCATGAATAGGGTATCTTGGAATTAAATATTCTTGAAGTATACAGGGAAATCTATGAAGTAGTTTCCTGGGGGGAAAAATGTAAACACCTAACCCTCTTTCCTCCATTATTCTGTTTGACATCAAATTATTTTCTAGAAGTAAGGGTGGAAACTTAACAAGTTCCAAAGTTATTAAACATCAGTGGAAATTGTGCTCCTCAGGCAGGCACTTTCTGAGAATTCCATCATAAATCAAGTCCTTTTGGCTTCAGTCAAAACATGGGGAAAAACTATGAATGTTGAAATACATGGCTACATCAGCCGGAAACAGTGATTCAAGTTGGGCTTAAAACTAACTCCCATTCACTTCAGCACTCCACATGATTGGACCCAAGCAAGCCATTTCATAAATTCACTTTATACAAGGCATGTGTAAAGCACTGGTCTTCTCAGTGAGTTTGTTTATTAATAAACTTGGTGATGTGGTGGTGTATATTCCAGCCTGGCCACATCTCTTGTTATGTCTACATCTGACATCAGCCTCAATGGAAGCTAAAAAGAGAAATGACCCCACAATGATGACCATGCCAGATTTGCTCAAAATGTTTTAAGGCTTTCTGCATTTACCTGGCAGAAAAAGTATGGCATTGCAAGCCAGCTGGAACTGGATACGAGTCACATTGAGCATTTTTTCCATTCCTCATCATTGACATGGAATAAAATCATCAAGATGTATGCTGTATACAAAACTCTTAGATTTCAGCATGATCAGGATTTTAGCCTGTAGAGCCAGAAGTACCCAAGAGAAATGAATCCCACCAGCTGTAGATTTGACTAAAGTTGTGAAGAATCAGGGCTTCCACAGTTAACCACAGGTACCTTTAGAGCCCTGACTTAGGAGGATCTTATTGTTTCTGCACAAAATTCTTCTGTTGTTGGAGCAACTGGCTCTAATATAAAGGCTCTGTGTTCCAGCAGGCATATCTATTACTTTGGCCACTCCCTCAAAACACTACCATTTAACAAAGCTGTAGATTTTCAAGCTGCTAGTTGTTTGAAAGGACCTTACAAACTGTTGCTATGTGATCCAAGTGTATGAAACCAGCGGTGAACCACAAACTTAGTACAATTCAATCCTGAATTAACTCTTTTCTGTTAAATTTATCTGCTGAACTTACATACCTGTGAGGAAGCCAGGCCTCTCCAGCAGAGAATTCTTCTAGGTACTTATCCCACTGTTGAAGCAGCCCATACATGCCTGGCTGTACTAGTGGGATACTAATGCATTGTTCCCACCCAAATTCAACTCTGTGAATGCCCATTTCATTGTAATTGTATACGAGTCCTGGAAATACAAACAGCAACCTTATTAGCAAGAGCTGGAGAATTAGAAATAAAGTTACAGTTCTGCTAACAGGATGAAGCAGCTGCTTTCCATAATGGTACTCCTTGCTGCAATACAGCAGTTACCGAAGCCTGTAAAACTGTCCTCTCACTCCCTCCCCTACCAAAAACATCATATTCTGTCCCACAACTAATCTTGACTTTGAAAGTTCTTCTTAGATGTTGTAATTTGAGTTAGTTGATTAAAGGAGCAACAAGCAAAATTTATTTTAAAAAAAACAACAAAAACCTCCCACAGAACATGCTGAATAGTTTTTAATTTCAAAATAAACAATCCACTGTCATACCTGCAACACAAGTGTTGCCCCATTCTGTTAGTACAAAATAATTCAGTGAAAGTGGGTTGGAAAGTAAAACTGATAATCTACTTTCATTGAGAAAAATGCAAAAGATGAACAACACATTAAATTCGATTTTTAAAATTCTATCAGATATCAAAAAGGCTGTTATAATCTGACAATGTCCTGTTAAGGAAAATGTATTTAAAGTGGCAGTACAAATAACTGTAAAGCAAACATTTTCTAGTATGTCTTTCAAAGGCTGCCTACCTTGTTAGCATTTTGTCCTGAGAATAGATAAATAGGGCTGGGTTTGGTTTCCAACATGAGTTCCATTTTATAGGAATCTTAAAAGTTTGGGATTATAATGATAGATGGTTTTGTTTTGGGGCTCTCTCTGGTCAGTGCTGAGATGTTAAAACAGAATCCCACATTTAAACTGTCAACCTCAATTTCCTTTGACATTAGCAGAGCCCAGATTTCACTGTAGATCTCTAGTAGTAGAGCCAACAGGTTTGGAGATGTTTTTCAACAGCAAATCTCAGACACCATGCATCTATCCAATTAGTGAATGCAACTGGCTGGCTCTGAAATGAGTGCTATTCAATCCTAACCCCTAAAGCATTGGTTCTTATCCTATTTTGTACCAGGACCCATTTGTAAACATCGATGGCCAGTCCCAACCCAGTGCCCCTCACTCCCAACCTGCTGCCCCATCCGCAGCGTGTGGGGTGGGGGGGCCCAAGCAGCCCCTTGCAGGCTGGAGCTCTGCCAGCCTGCAAGGGAAAAGCCATGGTTTCTCATGTTTTTCTCCTTTAAAGGGAGAATCCATTTTTGAAGTATGTGGATCCATTTTTAGAGTTTGTTCACAACCCTTTCATATATTCTTGTGACCCACTTTTGGGTCATGACCCACAGGTTGAGAAATGCTGCCCTCAAGGAAGATCGAGAGGAGTGAAATCAAACTTGTATATATAGTTTAAATCCCAGAAATGTACTGGAGATACACAAAGATGTTGCATATTTAAGCAGAGTTTAATTACAAAGCTTTTGTTACCATTAGTACTGGTTATTCCAACATGAAGATCAGATTTCCCATCATACTCTCTGAAAGAAAAATGGTATTAAGTTTTTACGACTGAAAATAGCTTCATGCAGGGGCTGCTTGGTCACGTTAAAAATACTCTGAAAGGTCTCCTTCCCTAACTGCTGGTACTTTTGACTCCAGCTGAGACTAGAATGTGAGGGAGCATGGATGCAGACATCATTACAGACCTCATGACATTTTTCATTTCCAGAAATGGCTGTTTAGATTTTGTACAAGTGTCATTTTCTGTTCACCCCAAACACCCCCCTACTAGACCAGAACAACAGCACAGCAGGGCACAGGGCAACAGTAGAGGGAGACCACAAAGGGCTCGGAAGGACAGGCCACGCTCTATGGGAGCTCCAAAGATGAAAAATGAAGGCCCAGATTTCCCCTCTTACCACAAACCCACAGGATAAGAACTTCAATGAAAACTCAGCTTTTAACAGCAGTCCGTGCACACACACAGTGTGCTCGCACTTCTCGTCCACTAAGGAGACAAACGGGCCAGGTACACAGGTCGCTACACACACCGCACCCATTCTGTCAGATCAGGGGCTTAGTGCCCAAGCGACATTTCGCACCAACTGTTTTGCAGATGACAAAATGCAGCAAGACCCGAACTGGGGACCGGGCAGGACACGCGCGCCTACCCCCGCGTCTGAGAAAGGCCCGGGGCCGGGGCCGGGGCCGGCGGGGAAGGCCGAGCGGCGGGCGGCGGCCGTACCCCAGGAAGG